TTGCTGAGACAGTTTGATTGGCCTGACATGAAAGAGACTGCTGAAAAGTTTGTGGCTGAATGTCAAGTTTGTCAACGAATCAAACCATGCAGACAAAGGTTGATGGGGCTACTCACACCCCTACCCATTCTCGATGGTCCCGGGGAGTCTGTCTCCATCGACTTCACCGACATGGGAAAGGTAAGTAAGAACGGCTACTCACAAGTCATGGTGATTGTTGACCGATTCTCTAAGTTCCTCAATGTGATTCCTTTGCCGCCTCATGCCCCAACAGAACTAGTGATTCGTGAATTCCAACAGAAGTACCTTCTGCAGTTCGAAACCCCGAAGACTCTTGTGAGCGATCGGGATCCGTGCTTCATTAGTACTGAGTGGAAGGACTTCACGTCTCAACCGGGGATCAAACTGTGTATGACATCTGGCCGACACCCCGAAGCCAACGGTTTGGCTGAGGAGATCAACCAGACTGTGTTTCAACTTCTTCGCGCTTTGATTATCCCGGACCAGGAAACATGGGATGAAGAGTTGTATTCCGTTAAGGGGTTATACAACAACTCCATCCACTCCGCCACCGACATGACACCCAACAGGCTGCATTACGGGTGGCAGATCCGAAATCCGCTCTCTTACCTATTCCCTGAGCAGCCAGCTGGTTTAACACCCGGCAGGCCTGGCTCCACGGCCAAGTATGATCGCTTGCTCAAAGTTGCCATTGCAGCTATGACCAAGCGACAACACGCCATGATCCATCATGCGAACAAGAAGCGCAGACCCTCGGATATTCAGGTAGGAAGCTATCTCTGGGTCAAGATGTCTGAATTCTCAAAAGAAGAGGGAGTCTCACGCAAACTCCTCCCTCTCTATTATGGACCCTGGGAAGTTTTGGATGTGATTGGCGAAGATCACTTTGGCCCTTCGTACGTCGTTGATGTGCCAGCCCATCTGCGCACATACCCCGTGTTCCACGCATCCAAACTGTACCTCCACCGTGATGCTAAGACATTCGATTATCGCGAAGATATGATCCCTCGTGCGATCAAAGGCGGGCACGAGATAAACAGGATCAAACAGCACGTAGGGAAGGGACGCAACAGACAGTACCAGGTTCACTTCATGTATCACCCATTCGACAATCTGTACTGGATTTCCAAACAGGAACTGCTACGCAGTGCACCGCGTGTTGTCAAAGCATATGAGCGACAAATCGCCACTAGCGCTGTACCTAAGATGTCTGCAAAGCTCACTGCAACAGAGTACTCTAGGAATCTCTTTGCCCTGCTCGCTTACGATGCGTTTGTCGAGGACTCAAAGAGAGTTACTCGCTCGAAGGGACCTCGCTCTTGAGGGGGGAGTAGTGTGATGACCCGTCCATACATGGACTGAGGCACACAACTGATTTCTGAGTTTTGCCCATGGACTGAATGTCGTGCTGAGTTCCCCGCTTGCTACGAAGTCTGTGTGTGCACGCTTGCTGGATTGCATGTCTATTTGAGTGCTGGATGGCTTGAGTGTGTCTGTGACCATGCCTGTCTGAGTGTTGGTTGGCCTGGGTGTGTGTGTGACCGTGCTTGTCTGAGTGCTGGTTGGCATGAGTATGTGTGTGGCCCGTCAGGGCACTTGCTCGTTCGTTGGGCCCTCAGTGCCGGTACTTACCTGTGGCCGTGACATTGAGGGGTTGCAGCAGGGAAAAACACTCAAGTAGCGGGTAGGCCGGTACCGCACCTGGAAGGGGTAGATGTGCAGGTACCGGAGGCCGGGCAGAAGAAGACAAAAAGTGGCATTTTTTTTAGAGGCCCAGTAGTTGTAGGTAGGTCTAGGCGGATATCAGTCCAACCAGTCTGGGTCTAGGGCYTGYAGYGGGCAATATCAGAGKCTGCAATGATGTTTCCCTCCGAAAGKGAGGAGGTACCGGKTGCTTGGGAGGCCGAGCGGCCTGGAAGTCACCGCCCAAGAGGCAAAGCAGGCCGCTATATCTTCTGGCCGGGCGGAGAGTCCKGCCTCTTTTTCGKTGTGCAAGTTTGGCGACACACTGGTGGAGCRCTGGCTGGAGCAGCGCTAAGCTGGAGCAGCGCWGCTGGGGAGGAAGGAGAAGGACACGAGGGRGGAAGAAGGAGGAAGAAGGAAGGAAGGGGGAGGAGCGCCAGGGGTACTTACCTGGCTATGGTGRCAGCCATCTTCATCACCTTGGTGGGCGCTGCAGCAGAGAGTCCCCAGCCGGGGAGAGCTACACCAAGAAGCTTGGGGGCAGGGTCASGCATGGCGGCCTGAGCTAGAGCAGCCATAGCTGCTTTGGGTTGTCCTTTGGGCATCTRAGCAGAGCCCAGTAGTCCGCCATAGCCTCGGCCTATGAGAGTGAAGAGTGGGAGAGGCGGCCATGGCTATGGTGGACCTTGAGTGATACCTGCAGTAGAAGAGGGACTCGGACATTGATTTTGGATCAGTCATTCAACATTGTATTATTTCACCATACATACATTCTGTCGTCACCACGGCATCCCAAGCCGTACAGCCTTCCGGCGCACACCTGTCTACCCAGGTCGTGCGCCTAGTTTCGGCCTGACGTCACAAGAACCAATTGCGAAGAAGCATCGTCAACGCACCAAGTCTGTATAACGCCAACGCACCAAGGTAAGCGGCGAATCGAACCAGCTACGATACCAAATTGCAAGGAACATGAATGTGGACGAAGCAAAGAAATCCCAATTGCAAATCACACTGAAGTCCAGGTAGTCAAAGCAAGAGCAGATAACACATTGGAGCCGAGCAATCATCCATTTGAGAACGATACAGCAAAAGTTGTGAGTCAATGTCCAAGCCCAATCAGGCCGGTCGGCCTCAATGCTGGCCTCCTGCGTCGTGGGCTGAACCGTCGATAATAGCCGTTCAGCCCAGACCGGCGGGCGGCAGCCTCAAGAGCGCCGCTAGGCCCAAATGGTTTGTCGTTTGGGCCAGACCTGGGTCTGTTGATATCGAGGTCCAACCGGTGGCCTAATAGGGCCTACAGGGAGAAAAAAGGCCTGGCCTTTGGCTAGGCCGGCCTGGGTCCCCCTGAACCGGTGTGTCGGGCCTGTGGAGGCCCGTGTGAAGTCGCAGACTGTAACAGTGTGTGTATGTGTGTGCAGAGTATCGCGTGTGGGATATCCAGGGTGATTCTGTGCGTGCGAACAGAGAGTTGTGTGGGCGTTGTGTCGCCATAGCCATTGAAGTGAACTTGTACCTGAACTACGTTCTTGGCTACCATATCTTTGAGTTTCGAGTGGGTGCTTGTCGCCAGTTTGCTGCACACCTGTTTGCATGCATGTGAGGTGTGAAAGATAGCGAGTCTGATTGCATTGGTATCAAAGCTGGTACCCGCTATTCCACGCGCGTCCATCGTGTGCCGCAGGGAGAGGTACGCGCCATAGCCAAAGTCGCCATCGGAGAAGAAGTCCGGGCCTAACCTGCAGGTAACAAGCTGGCGCCTTGGCAGTGGAGGGAGGACCGCTGCAGGTCACGGGAGCTATGGTGCTCCATGGTCCCAGGTAAGTCCCCTCACTCGTCCTTGCTCCTCCTCGACTGCAGTACGCTAAACTAGCGTTGCAGATCCTAGCGCTGCGCCTCCTGAGAATAGCGCAGCGCTCCTCTGGCTGCTCCTCATTCCAACATGCAGGAATGGCCGCTGGACCGGCCTAAGTACCGTCCGAAGAAGCCGCCACGCGCACCTCCAAAGAAGACCACGACGAAGAAGAGAGAGAGAGAGAGGGAGAGAGAGAGAGAGAGAGAGAGAGAGAGAGAGAGAGAGAGAGAGAGAGAGAGAGAGAGAGAG